AGGTGTCGTCGTTTGTGTAGGGTGTGATGAATTTGCAGTTGCGAAGCGTCACTGCGTTAATTTTCTGTCGTAGTGGTGGTGATTCTTTGGTTGCTTGCTCCGTTGATCTGATTGTAGTGTCCTTTGAGGTCTTCTGTGCTTTAGTGGGTTGCATTACTTCTTCCGGAGTTAAACGTCGTAGTGTTTGTGGAGGTGGTGCTGGTAGTGGTGGATGTTGTCGTCCGGTTGGTGAAGTAGCCATCGGACTATCCGGTAGTGGTCGTGAACTTGACGTCGATGTTGACGGAAGTCGTGGAGGTGGTGTGGTGCGTTGTTGTTTTGTTGCGGGTTCCGCAACGATGTCGTCCGTAGAGTTCGTTTGTTGTCCGAAATCTTGCGTGGACCTTCTTTTCTCTGACGGTGGTAGTTGCGCATCCAACAGTGTTGCGAACGATGGGTTGTAGGTGTTCCGTCGTGGTGCCCACGGTGTGCCGGAAACTTTGTTCAATAGTGCGAGGTCGTATTTGAAGTCCGGTTGTAGTCTCCGCACTGTTCGTACCTTTTGTACGCCTGATTCCGTTGCGACGTAGTTTTCTCCGGTTTCGGAAACTTTTCCGAGCCAGATGCATTTCTGCATCCGTAGGTCTGCTTTTGGGAGTTTCTTGTGTTGTGGTGGAAGGTAGAGTAGTGTCTCGCCAAATTCGCAGATTGCTCGCTCGTAGTTTCTTCCCCAGCGGCGTTCAAAGCTTGTGTAGCCGTCTGAGTGGATGACGTAGCGATTTACCGTCCATGCTGCATGTCGTACTATCCAAGGTAGTAGACAGTGCTTTGTGGACATCGTCATGCTGTAGTTGCTTTCAACCTGAGCTTTGACGACGCGGATTTGTCCGAGGAGTGTTCTATGTAGTCGCTCAACGCTTCCTTGACTGTTGCTGCTGTAGGACGGTGAATGTCGTACAGTCACTGAGCCGGCTTTAGATGCTGTTGCTTGTAGTAGTGCATTGAGTGTGTCTTCGTTGTCGCTTTGTAGTATGCCGTGTGTTCTTCCGCACTCAAAGATGAATGCTTGTAGGTTGTTGATCATGTAGTCCATCATCGATGGTTTGTCCGGAACCAATACCGCCATGCACAGTTGTGTAGTAACATCAACTGCCGTTAAGACTGGTATGGTCTTCGGATCTTGTTGTGATTTGATGTAGGCAAAATCCACTTGGATGATGGGTTGTCGTGATTGTTGTTTCTTGTAGTTGTCCTGGCGTCCTTTGCCTTGAACGCAAATTGGACACCAATTTCTGTATGGTAGGTGTGTCAAGTTGTGTTCTGCTATTTGTTGTGGAGTGGGCTGCTGAGGTTGTCGTAGTCCTATTGCTCTGTGTGCTTCATGATGCTCGTGTTGTTGTTCCTCATCGTGGTTCTCCTGGATGTACTCGTAGTCTTTCTTCACGGTGAACCTTGTTGTTCCTTTCCATTGAAATGGTAGTGCTGCGTTGCCCATGACTGTCCAGTCATCTTTGCGTTGTGAAACTTCTCCAAAGTTGTTGTGAGTGATTGTAGTTCTGTGAGGTTCAAGTGTGTTGATTGGTGGATGTCCTGGTCCATCTGTTGGAGTGAATAGGGTTGTTCTAAGTGTTGTGTGGTGTCTTATCCAGTGTTCACCTTGTCTTTCCCAGTAGTCTTGGTTGTCCTCCTGTGCTGTGAGTGGTCTGTGGATTGTCTCCTTTGGTTGTGTGGTGTCAAGATTTGTAGAAGGTGCTGCTTTAGGTCTCCATATCTTTTGTGGCGCTCGTAGTTGGATCTTTGATCTGGTTGGTGGTGTGTCCATTAGCCGTTGTGGTTGTGAGCTCTGCCTTGTTGGTGTTGTCTTTGATGTTGCTCTGCGTGTAGGTGTTATCTTTCTTCTGAATCTGGTTTCTCCAGTCCAGTTGTCACCTTCTAGTCTTCGTTGTAGTTCTTGCTTGGAAAGTTGTGTTGGGTTCTCTTGTAGTTGTTCTTGCTCTTGCCCTTGTCTGTTGATGATGGTTAGTCGCCAATCATCTAGTTCTCCTTCAGGTATTGGGCAGCCGCTGTTGTGTGGTGTGAATAGTGCTTTGCGTGGTCGTTTGTGTACTCTGATGGCGTAGTCACCATCAAGTTTCCAGTAGTCAGTGTTTCCACCAAGGATCTGTCGTAGTCCTTGGTCTGTGTGGGTGAGTGGTGCGATTTGTTCTTGTTGTTGTACTGCTTTCTCTGTAGGTTGAATCACAGCAATGGATTTTCCATTGTATGTAGTCATTGGGTAGATGTCGAATCCAGTAGGGATGTCGATCTTCTCTGCTCGTAGGTAGAAAAGTCCTGAGTGTCTTATGAGGTGTGCTTGTTGTTGTCCATGTGTGATGGTGCAGTGTCGTGGAGTGAAGTCAAGTCCATATCCTCTATCAAGTAGTCTTGATGCACTGAGGATTGGATACTTCACATCACAAACGTAGTAGGGTATAATGATCCTGAAGTTGTCCTGCTTGTAGGGAACGTACTTGATGCCGTAGACAGGAATCTTCTTGTTGGTAACCGTGTAGAGTTGTGGAACTGATTCTCCACAAGGTCGTAGCGGTAGGTCTGGTGCGTAGTCCTTCGGGCAAACATGTGTAGATGCTCCTGAGTCGATCAACAGGTGGTGATATGACTTGAAGTTGGAGTACATGATGTAGTGTGTGATAGTGTCCTCAATCTTCTTGTTCCTTTGTGGTTGTCTTGCTGCTGCTATGTCAAAGTGTGGCTGTGTGTTGTCTGCTTGTAGGAATTGTTGAAAGCTCTTGCTGTGGTCGTTCCATGATGTTGTGTGTGTTGTTCTCTTGCCAAGTAGTGATTTGGATTTGTGCTTGTGTAGTCGTGAGTTTGCTTGTCTGATGTGTCCAATGGTGAGGTGTGACTCGTTGATGCCTCCAATGTAGTTTGCTGTGTCCTCATAGCTGTTGTCATTCCAATCCCAGCTGTTGTCATAGTCGTAGTCGTTCCAGTTCTCCTCCATGTAGTTCACCTCGTGTTGTCCTTCTTCTCCTTCGTAGTACCAGTCCCAGGTGTCGTTCACATCCTGAGGTAGTTCTTCATTGTTGTCATGATCTGCTTGTTCATTTTCTATTGGATGTAGTTCTTCTCCTTCTCCTATGTGCCATACTGGCACTCTGCAGTCTTGTGCCCAGTGGCCGGGCTTGCCACATCGATGGCATGTTGTGTAGTTGTTGTTTCCTTTCCCTTTTGATTTGCTGTAGTTTCCTTGGCCTTTGTAGCCTTTGCTTGATCCATATCCTTTGGATCCTGAGTAGCCTTTTCCTTTGCTCTTGTTGTATCCTCCTTTGTTGTAGTTTCCTTTGCTGCCTTTGTCGAATCCTTTGTAGTGGCCTTTGCTTCTGTACTTGCCTTTTCCTTTCTTTCCTTTGTAGTGTCCTTTGCCTCCATATTTGCCTTTGCCTTTGTAGTTTCTTCCTTTTCTCCAAATGTTGTCCACGTCCATTGGTGCTGTTCCACCATTGTAGTTTGTGCCAACTGCTGAGCTCGCTCTTGAGAATGCAGATATGGTTTTGTAGTAGTCCAGGATCACAACTCTGATCTCGTTGTAGTTCGTGATCTGTCCAGCGCGTAGTTGGAGATGTTGTTGAAGTGCTCCTTTAGTCTTGTTGAGTAGTATTGCAATCTTCACTCCATCTGGTAGTGCTGTGCCGTTGTCTTTCTCGTAGCGGTTGATGTCATACTCCCACTGTAGGAATTGTTCTTCAAATTGCGCTTCATTGAATGTAGGTTCCAGTAGTTTGGTGAGGTAGCCAACACTGCGTGTTCCTACTGGTAGGCTGAACCTGTTGTGCAAAGCCGTAGTGTTTCACATCCATTGGCATTGTAGCGGTTTTGTCTGACCACTGTAGCTGCTGCACCTTGGCAGATGTTGATGAGGATGTAGTGTAGGTCTCGTGAGAGATCTACTGCTTTTGCTGCCTGTGTAGGGTCGCGTATGTGGGCTCTGATGTCTGCATCTTCAATTTGTCTTGTAGCTGCTTGTGCTAGTTGTAGCACCATGTCGAAGTCTCGGTCGATGAGTCCGAGGTATGCTTGTAGTTTGAACAGCCACTCTTCGTACTGTGAGTAGTCACCAGTGAAGAACGGTGCTGGCAGCTTGCATTTGTGTAGCCTTTGGACGTCTTCCTGCTCCTGTGTTGTTCCCGTAGTTGTGGCTCCTATTGTCTCCTCTGCTGTGGGCCCGTTGTCTGCTCCTGTAGTTGGTTGTGCTGATGCTGCTGCTGGTTCTCCTGACATGTCGTAGTAGTTGGGCATGTGGTTGCCTGTGCAGTTGTGGTACTTACTGCTGTTACTGGAGCTCCCCTATGTTTAGGATCTCAGCTCCGCTACCACGTTAAAATACGTTGGTACTTTACTGCAAGTGCAAGTGTTGTTTCTGTTGTCACAAACACAAATGTAGTTAGCCAGCATGCACTCTTTTCCTGGTAGACTCAAGGCCTGCAGTCGGGTAGTGTACATCATGCATGCACAAGTGACAAGTAGTGCAACATGATATTTGACAAGAGAGAGAGAGAGACAGAGAGAGAGAGAGAGAGGAAGAAAGGAAGAAAGGAAGAAGGAAGAAAGGAAGAAAGGAAGAAAGGAAAAAAGGAAGAAAGGAAGAAAGGAAGAAAGGAAGAAAGGAAGACAGGAAGAGAGCGAGAGAGCGAGAGAGCGAGAGAGAAAGAGAGAGAGAGAGATAGAGCGAGACAGAGCGAGACAACTAGAGCGAGAGAGAGAGAAAGAGAGAGGGAGAGCGAGAGATAGAGAGAGAGAGAGAGAGAGAGAGAGAGAGAGAGAGAGAGAGAGGGGGGGGGAGGGAGAGAGAGAGGAGGGAGGGAGGGAAGGGGAGAGAGCGAGAGGGAGGCACGCAATGTGTGTTCCCCAAAGGTGGGACCTCCGCCTGAAAGCCTCCGCCTGAAACCTCCGCAATGCAAATTAGGCACCTCCGCCTGAAAGCCTCGTCAGCTCCTTTCAATTCAGTGCCTCCGAGCATCATTGTAGACGCAGTCCTGGCAAGGCAATGGGGGCTGCTAGATCCAACGCTTCTCGCCTCTCTCTCTCTTTCTCTCTCTCTCTCTGTCCCTCCCTCCCTCCCTCCCTCCCTCCCTCCCTCCCTCCCTCCCTCCCTCGCTCGCTCGCTCGCTCGCTCGCTCGCTCGCTCGCTCGCTCGCTGTGAGATTTGGGTCGCTGCACAAAAGACAAAATCAAACCTTGTCCTTTGCCTCGAAAGGGTATTGCTGTCAAAATCTACACGCACGACTTTTTTCAAGGCCCCCGTCAAGTGTGGCTCTGGCTTTCTTCCAAAGCCTATCCCAAAAACTGCCCACAGCTCACAGCCCAAATGGTGCTGAAGGAATCAAGCCGATGTTTTACAAGGGATTCGTCAGACCCAAAACAAGGATTTCCTGCATTTTTCCTGCAGATGTCGTGGAAAAGAAGAATGCTAGGGGCAAGCGGTCGAAATTCGAAATCCATGCCCCGTGAGTGCAGTGGATGAGGGGGGGTAGAATAATTCATGGTGTTTCGCGCAGTGTGATGCCTTGATTGTCGATGCCCAGCAGCGCCGTTTATTGATGATCCATGTCAGCAGTTGCCACCATGCTCGGCAGCATGGTCAACTGTTGCCTTGAATGAGGGAAGCAACCCGCATCATCCAACCCTTGTTTCCCCCATACAATCTGGATATTGGTTGAGGCGAGAGGACCCTCTACTTATGGAAGGAGTTTCCATTCAGCTAAAGCAACCAAAGGCCACCCAAGAACCCAAGAACTGCGCTCACCGCCGGAAGGAATATTGTGCCTTCATTTTGTGAGAAATACATGCGGGGAGTCGTCCCCTGTTTTGACACACACCCAGATACCCAGTTGGCCCGTTCTCCTAAGATCTTTGCACCCTGCCCAAAGCCAGGCCTGCACCGGATCGTCATCGTCTGTACTCTCTTCCTCATTCTCCGCGTCCGGCTTGGTGGTCGTCGTCTTGCTGTTCGCTTTTGTGCCGTTCGCTTTTGTGCCGTTCGCTTTTGTGCCGTTGGTCGCGTTCGGCTCCTAGCCAAGCAACCCAGAACCAGGATCCGGATGGGATGCGAGGAATGTCCGAGCGACGACTCCAAGTCTCAGGGGTTTCCTGCAAAGGCGGGAGTTCAGTGGCATTATCAGCCACTTCGCTAACCCCGGATCATCTTAGATTGGGGCAGAGAGCCCCCCTGTCTTCAAGTTGTCGGAGCTGAGTTGCGGGAGATGTGTGCCGGTGGTGATCAGTGACCAGTACCGATTCCATGTGCCCAAATCAGTTCCCACCAGTTTGCCCTACTAACCATAATAAACAACCAAAAAGACTCCCTCTGTTGCTTTCGCCACTTACCTCCTTTCAGTTGGTGTGAAAAGTCCCGTTTCATATTGCAACTTACTGGCAATATGGCGGGCATGCTGCGCAAGTAACAACGCAACAAATCTGCATGTGTTTAGCAATGCCAAAACCTGAATTAAGGGATCCCCAAGCAAACCTAACTCTTTACCCCCGCATCGGTGACGCCGTCAGCTGGGCACACATCCACTTCCGAACTCATGGCATAGCCGCCCTCCTTCCGTGTCGCAGCATGAGCCATCAGCTTCCTGGACGAGAGGCCTGGCAGGTTCGGGTGGGATGTAAATCGGGGAGGTCTTCCTTGCTGTTGCCTTGGTTTTTATGTCACTTGGAAATATGATGCTTCGCCTTTGGCTTTCCTGTTTAAGGCAAACCAAAATCCAAACACGACCTACCCATGCATCTCATGGCACCTTGCAAAGGAAAACCAACATGACACCAACCATCGGTGTCAGATTTCCAAGTGGTGAAGAGTTCGTATTTGTCTCCAAGCCACCTTGCCGACGAGAAACACAACTAACATGCAAAGACGCCATGCCAGAATCTAGGGGTGTGTTTCTTGGGGTACTTTGCCTTGGTTTAGAGGGAAACCAAAACGAAAACTCACCATTTTCGGTGGCCTCCTATCTTGACACGTACCTTGTGGGGGAGAGGGCTGCTGCACAACTATCCTGAACATCAATGAATGAACGTGGAACCAGAAGAAAACATGTCCAACGCGACAGGGAGAGGGTCCATGACTCAAGCTAAGTATGGCATCTATGACTCAACAAAAGCATTGACCGGAAGAGTGCCTTCCCCAAAACGACGCCTGCCTTCCCTCACACCTCAGCACCTTCCTACCTTCTCCGTCTGTGGCCCTCAAACGTCAACAGCCGCAAACGGCCAATCTTGACCAGGGTCGCATGGACAGCCCATGCACCCTCGCGCCTCTGGCGTGCGTCTCCGTCCTGACCGTAGCTGGGGGACAGCCAGATGTAAAATGCAGCGCAACTTTGCCGCACTGAGGTTGCTTTGCGGGGAAACCAAACAAAACAACCGAAAAGAACACACTTCCGGAGACGAAGCCAAATGGGACATTTTCGGGAACCCATCAAACTGGCTTCTTTTATCATGAGCTTTCTCAAATTTGGAACCCCTTTATGGGGTTGCAAAACCAAAAAGAATAGTTCGGAGCACGCAAGAAACTGTGGCTGTTTGGTTTTTGAAACTGCCTTTTCGTGGAATCTGGTACTCCCTGCAAAAGCGGCACCCCAACCAGGCTGTCACGTTGGTTCCCATTTAATCCCATCTCAATCGTTCCCAGTGACAACAACCACCGACACGACCCAGGGGCCAAGCAATTGGGTATCCATGTTTAAAGTTTCAACCCATGCGAAAGGAGAAAACAAAATGGCCTGGAATCAGGAGGTCTAGTAAAGCACATAATTCAGTCTCAAAATAGGGGATCCCCTTTGGTTGAAAGAAATTCCAGAGGACATTGGATGTGAGGTTGCCGATTTAAAGGGTTTCATTCCCTCCTGGACGTAAACAAAATCTAATTGCCTGGGACGGCACCCAAGACAGGCAGAAAGAAGCGAGTTCTATCTGGAAGTGGATGCCAACTCAATATTGCAAGTAAGGAAACAAAGAAATCCTCTAATTTGCTGTTCAGCATAGTTGTGTGGTGGGTTTGCTCGCAGTATTCAGAGCATCCACCGTACCATTCCCAGTTGCAACGCCAGAGTGCGGAAACCTTTGGACCAAAGCAACACGCACGGCCGGACCCTCTCCTGGTAAAATCTCTGCTGCGGCCAACTTCTGAGTCACCTGTGAGAAACCCGCACGGCTCAAGGGAACCCGAGTGAGGTCTGTGTCCAATCCTCTGTGGAAAGTAACAAACAAATATAAGGGATGGCAAACTGCGGAAGGTTTCGGCTGCCATTGTCTTTTCTTTGCATTCTGGGCACATCGCAGCGCCTTCAGACAACCCTTTCCGGAAGAACCCAATTCTGAAGCCAACGAAGCCAAACTAAGCCTCGAAATTCCCTTTCACGGCAAGCAATGAGACTAGTGCATGTTTGTCATTGTCAAGCTGGGCCCATGTATCGCTCGGGCAAAGTCAGCTTCCCTCTCTCACAACGGCTGTTCTACTTCGAAAACGGCAAAATTGGCCAGTCAGATCTCCACCATGCGCAGCGACGGTCACGGCACGGTGAACACGTCTTCGGGCCATTCGAGCCTTTTAATTTAAAGGCTGCCTTATGATAGATGCTTAAAAAACATAAAACAAGAAGGTAGATTCAATCAAGAGATGATTGTTGCGGAGCCCTAAAGCATCCTGCGGCTTAGGCACTGACTTGTTTGATAAGAGACGCTTTGCCCCCGACGCTTTGCCTTTCAGACAGAGCCCAAATTGGCGCACCAAGATTGAGCACTGTAAACACCAAGGTTGGGCCACCTGCTTAAACCTGCTCAAACCCAATTGTTCCCAAACCCCTCATCTACGTTTCCCTTCGAAGGGGCTGCCCTGAATCTTGTAAGCAAACCAATCATAACCACAATGGCATTTCTTCGGTAAATCAGAACATCGGTTTCCGAATGCTCCCCTACCAAGGCAATTCCCACTGGCGCCTCCGCGGCCCTTGCCGTCCACCTCCACATACCTGGGAGGCAAACCTTTGGGGACATGGGCGTAGAGCTTGCAGCTGCATCTCTATCTCTTCACCTATCACGCGTCACTCGCAGCTTGGAATGTTACCAAATAGAAATGAATGAGAAATAGATTAACCAAAGGGTAAAGATGTTGAAGAGGATCATAAAAGAAAAGGAGTGTAATGGGAATAGATATCCATGTCATCTTTAGTTACTAGTCTTTGATGTCACCTGGATTTGTCATGTTCACATTTATCTGTTGTAGTTGTTTCTTTATCTGGTCATGTTCATATATTTCTTATATTCATAACTACGGTATCTTCATTGAACATCATTCTATCTGTTATCTTCTTATTACTTTTACTTGGAGGTAGAGGTAGGATGTAGAGGAAGAAGGGTTTGGAGAGGACCCAGTCTAATTCCAGGAGTTTCTTGCAGCCGCAAAGAGAGAGCCATATCAGGAAGCGTAGGGATGATGCCCCGTGGCTGGTTTGGCCCTTTCAAACCAACAAAAAAGCTCTCCCAAAAATAGACGAGCCACTCATGTAAACTCTCAGCCTTTTGCCCTCTGCATTTCCCTGGACCAAGTGCTTGCACTTTCAAGCTTCAGGAAGCCAACCATGTTCGCTTGGGTCCAGTGGTGATAGGTAACCCCCCCCCTGTACAACCAACTGAGGGGAATAACAATATACTCTTAAGCCAATGGAAGATGTTTGAAGGGGGGTCTCAACAAAATGCTGTTGCACAAATTCCGAACAACTCCTTCAGGCGCAAAACGACGGCCCTCCGATTGCCGCCTTAAACGTTTGTTAAACATAGTTTACACAGCGCGCCATCGCAAAGAATACAGAAAGGACCTGGGCACCTGTGCAACCCTGCGAAGCCCGCCGGGTGGAAATTTGTCCTGAGACTCAAAGTGATTTGACCGTCCCGCTAAATATAAAACTGCAAGGGCAAAACTGTTCGGTCCTGGTCCCTCAGCTACCTGAACCTCGGAGTCCCCTTTGGGATTCTACCAAATTCTCAAATACATCAGTGTACCTGTCTCAAAATAGGGGAACCCCGAGAATAGTGCTCTCTCCTTTGGTTTCACTTCAAAATCATCTGAAAAGAGGTACCCTTCAAAGACAAACTAGGTGTCCCTGGTCCTTCCCTTGAAAATCGCGAAATCGATTTCGCACTGCATCCGAGCCACACATCTGCGTCCTCGCTATGGGTGGCATGCCGCGAGGCCTGTTCCTAGCCAGTCTGGTGGGTTGGCTTTCAGAGGAAACTTTGTTTCCAACGAACACCAACAAAGAAACCAACTTTTTCGGGGGGGTCCGATTCCTAAAACTATCTCAGCCTGGAGCTGGAAACGCCCCCATCTATAACTCTTGAGAAATGGTGAAAGGAAAACAAGAGGAAAGCTTGAGCCATACTATACCTCATCCAGAACTCTGAATTGAGACTTCTCTGAGGAAATTCAGAGGAAACCAGCCCAGGCGAATCGTCAACCAAAGCTCCAAGGATCGAACAATCGTGATCACACAATGGGTCGAGCTGTACAACCTTCGGTACGAAGACCGTTTAGGAAGGGAACGATCCTCTTCGACTCCTGCTTTAGGAATGATAGTTTTGTAAACTGGCGGTGTGTTTGGAAGTGTGTTCTTTGTTCCGTTCATCCTGGTCAGGTGTGTCAATTGAGCCATGGCTGATGACTGACAATGCACAACAGCCTACCATGCGCAGTGCGTCGAAATTCGGGGGCCCTCCAAACGAGGTTCCTCGTCAACAGTTTTCCAGGTCAGAAAAATGAGGTGTACTCAAAACCGCAAGCTTGTGCGCCATCAGGCAAACTAGATGGCTCAGACACACAGGAACCTGCATGTGTGATTTCGGCGCCAAACAGTCAGTGAGCTCGCCATGGACCCCCAGAGTCCATCCCTGGGACCGGGGGTCCGGGTATGCTTTTGCAGGAAAGGCCATTCTGGAGGGGGGTCCCTTCAAGAGGGAATCCTGGGGGACATCGCCGGTCAATCCACCAGGCCGACAAAAGACACGCCACGCATCAGAAACCCCTTTAAACTCCAAACATGTCTCAAGGTTTACTCGGGGTGTTGGGGTTTAGCTGGCAACCAAGGGCAATAGGAGTGTGTCTTTTTGGGGGGGACCCACAAAATGCCCCCCAAAAAAAAGAAGAAGAGGGTATCTTCACTGGCTGGTGCCTAGAAAACGTTGCTTTGTGGTCAAATGGATCTAAACCCGGCCCGTTCGCTCCCAAATGGGGCGCCTTCTCGGTGGCCCCGTCGGAGCCCACTGCCACATGCCTCCGCCCTGGCCGGAAGAACCCGTTTCGGAGGGCTTAGGGAAGCCACAAACACACACCCAGCCCCACGCAATTCTGCTGCTCCCTCATGAGGCAAACCCAAATGCGTAGGTATGAGTTGTGCTAAGAGGACCGTAGTTATGAGTCTTTTAAGAGGACCGCCAACTCGAAAACTGTCGATGGACTAGCCAACTTAAAAGGGAACACTCAAGAATGGTCGGCGCCCGCAAAACCCCAAGCAAATGATGTCCACCATTGGTGTCCACAAAGGGCCCGCCAATTCAACAGCCACATACCTGCACATGTGCAAAACCGATGCTTGAAAAAAAGGAAGCTTGAGATGTTACGAGAAATCGCTGCCATGAAGGGTTCCAACTGGTGTTGACACGACCCAACGTGGCGTGAACATCAACTTATCTCGGTTTCACATTACCGCCAAGAAAAGGAGGTTCTGCCTCAGGGCATTTGGGCATGGATTCGAATGCGGTTGGGCCAATGGGGTCACGCTCACGCCTTTCAGTGTCCCTGGAGGCCAATTGCTACAAACCTTGCCCAACAGATCCAAGGGCCCACCGAGGAGTAAGCTTGAGAGAGAGGGGTCGAAGAGACCAGGCTCGAGTGAATGAAGTCTGGCAAGGGCGCAAAGGGTCCTGTAGACCCAGGCCTTTGTAGGCCTTACCAAGGGCTAAAATCGGTCTGGCATCAGGAAACGGGACCCGGAAGCAGTTCCTTGATAAGCATATCCCCCCCCCATTCCAACACGCATGGAAGTGGAGAGGGGGCTTTCCCAAGAGAGCTGCAGTCTTAAAAAACCCGTCCGTCAGCTTCCATGGTTGCTGGAAGAGTGCGATGGATGCCCGAAATACCGCAAGAAAACCCATCCATGTGGTTGCAATTTACTGTGTTCTTGTCAACCCCTGGTTGATCAAGAAAGGCGGGCGTGGTGCCCTTTTAGTAGGAATCCGCATCTCCTTTTTTGGTGACACCCCCGATTAATAGGAGGAACATAATACTCTTCCTCCCAGGAAAGCACCTGGAAGCTACCAAGGTTAATCTTGAAGACCCTGTTAGATGCCATCTTGGTGGGAGGAAGGGGCGTAGGTAAGCACCACGGGAACTCTTTACAAGCCAAGAGGACAGTGGCGGGTTTGTCCTAGTGGAAAACCAACCATGCACAATCTGGGAAAATGAGAAATCACGTCCAATGGAAAACCTGTGCCTGCGCCCTCGGTGCGCAGGAGTCGACCAGGCTCAGGCCTAGCGAATCCGCGAGTCGAGTGTGCCCCAAAATCGCCTGCCCCAGTAGCCCCTCTCAACCCAAAAGGCACCGACTTCGGCCCCCCAACCCAAATTGGCGATTCGTGACCCGGACATTTACACATTTGCAGCAATCTTTGCCATGTCCTGTTGGGGAAAGAAGTAATTGTCAGGGGATCATGTGGGGGTGTCTCAAACTTAGGAGACCCCAAAGTGGTTGGTTTCCTTTTGGCTTCCCTTTACCAAACAGGGGTCCCCCAACAACAGACACGCAGTAAGATACCGAGCAATCTCAAGGGCTGGCAGCTCCAAGTTTGGCCTTATCCAAAAATCTGGCTGCTCGCGTTTAGTCGACCAGACCCCTCATTTTGAGACGGACGTCCAAACAGTTCTGGCTCCCCGCCGAGGCCGAAAATCCCAGACCTGTTGAAAAGGAAAATGAAACGATGCATATGGAGGGGTCCCAAGCTCAAACATGTGTCACGAAGCTAAGACCCATTCTGGGTTCATTTCACAAGAACATCCAGTTTCGTCAAGGGGGGAGTATCAAACGTATCAGCGATGGGCTCTTTTGCAAAATAGGGAACCCCCACTGTTGGCTGGTTTCAAGCATCCAAAGGGAAACCGGCCATTTTGCGGGGGTCGCAATTGTTTGGAGACACCCGCCTTGGGTTCAGGATGGCTTCGCTTGGGGAAATCGAAGTCGAAACCCTTGGATTTGAGTCTAAGCTGCTCAAAGCCAGCTTCTACCCTTCCAACAACCGTAGCTCATGAGGCAGTCGTCACAGAAAGTGGAAGGGTACGGGGGCGAATATGTTCCTTACCATTGCCTAAATCCCGGTTCGGGAGTTGAGAACCATCCTTCCCAACCCCGAGAAAAGTGGCCTGCGGCCATTCTTGGGCGTAAAATGTTTGAACACACGTTGAGTCAGCCCTTCTTGTCTCATGGAATAGCAGGGAACAAATAGAAAAACCAAAGAAAGTGCGTGTCTCGCTATGTGCCATCCATCCCTCACTCAGGCAGCGCTCACTCACGTCACCAGCCTGGCATCATTCTCGTGGCCTAGGCCGAATTGCCACGAAGCGGCTGGGTCTGGCCTTTTCCGTAGGAGTGTGGTGTCTTTTCGGGGGTGGTTTTAAAGGGAAACCAAAGGGAACATATGTTTGCCATGCTGGGCGGTCCAGCAGTTGGTTTGGTACCGTTGGGTAAGTTGCATGTCTCTTTTGAAGGCTACCCCCGCCAAGAGGTGCAGCTTTGCCCCACCCACAAAAAAGAATCTGCTTCCCTCGCCCAAACCAACGAGACCTCCAATTTGCATGCGATCTCCCTGATGCGTGCCCTCCCAACATGGTTTGGCAAGCGGTGGCCTCAAATCAAAACGAGAAGATGTTGTCTTCCGAAAGGAAAACACAAACGCTTCCAGTGAGCCACGTCTCACAACGCGTCAAGTAGAGCCCGAATTCCACTACTGTTACCACCGTTCCTCTGACTACACAGAGCCGTCCTCCAAGATGGCAGCGAAAGCATAGGCAGTTGCTTGGATCTGCTGGACTCATACCAACTGCTCTCGCACTTGGCTATTCTCCCAGTGACGCTTGGATCTGCTGGATGCGCACCAACTGCTCCAGAACGTGGCTGCTGTCGCTGCCGTCACTTGGATTGCCCCGTCCCCACTGAGCCATCCTTCAAGATGGCTGCAAAAGCATTTGTCAGTCGCGTGGATCTGCTTGACCTGCACCAAGAGCTCCTGCACTTGGCTGCTGTCACAGAACCGTGGTCCAGGATGGCAGCGAAAGCACTGTCAACTGCTTGGGTCTGCTGGACCCGCACCAACTGATTTGGCTGCTGTCACCGCCACAGTCTGAATTGCCCCAACTCACCACACACCCGTCATCCGAGATGGCTGCAAAAGCATTGCAAGTTCTGTGGATCTTCTAGACCCGCACCAACTGCTCTCGGAATCGGCTGCAGTCACCACGCCCCAAGTGACCACAGAGCCATCATCCAGGAGGTTATGACTGAGCACGACCATCCAAATTGCAAGCGTGGTCAGAGCAGTCGCCCCAGTCGGCTGAAAAAAACACGAGCCAAAAAAAATCCTTCAAGAACACTTGGTGATGTGTTGGTGTTTCTCAAACTAGGGTCCCCGAAATGAAGAACGAACAAAGAAAGGCTCCACCATTTGAGAGACTCCCATCTGTGTCTCCCCGAGTTTCTCGCACAGCTGCAACTACTTTGTGTGCATCTCTGAGAATGAGTTCAGGGGTTGATTCCAACGGCTGAGCCTTGTCAATCCAGAGCCAGCATAGCACCCATAGGAAAACTTACCCCATACCGGAGCCTCTGTCAGTGCTGCATCGAGGCGACGCAGGGCTTTGGCTGTTGCTCCCTCTGCGGCTGCGTGGCCCACGGCCAGGCCAGCCTGGCACTCTGCCACGTGGCGAAAGAGAAAGCAGCGGCCAAAGACAGCGCCGCCATGCAGCTCCTGACTCGCCATGGCAGGCAGTGTGCCAGCCAAGTTCTTTGCCCTGACTTGGCCACATGGCGCGTTTGCTGGCGTACTGGTTGTAGCTACTAGAGCTACCATTGCAGAGGTGAGACTATCCCTTGGGCATGAATCAAATGAATCGTCATTCAACAAAGCATGAGATCGGAGCTTGGCCATTCCAAGAATTCCACAAGCCGGCTTGACTTTCAGGCCACGTATCCTCACCTGAAGGGCATGCCTGTGCAAAGTGAAGTGGAAGGAAGGAGAAGTCACTTCACTGCATTTGCAGCTTTCCACGGTCCTTCTCTTACCCAAGTGCTGAGTCCATGCAGAAAGCAATGATAAATCTGCACATTACTCTAAAAAAACGATATGGAAAGGTAACTACGATAAGCTAATAATTAATTGCCAGCTAGGTGATTCCCATTCCCTCGCTTCCCTCCGTTCCCCCTCGAGCCTCTCTCTCCCTTTCTCTTTCTTAACTCCTTTCTACCGGCTCAATTAGTGATTTTGGGGAGACCGGGAGGTGGGTGAAAGGAAAGGATGAGCAATAGGAAGGGGATGGACTCCGGATGGACTGGAAGGAACGGTGGAGAAAGATCAGCACAACTGCCCATCTGCTGCGCCGACATTGCAAGCCCGCCTGTCAGCAACATCCTTTTTCCGGCATGAGGGGTTCCGTACCAATCGCCAGTAAACCAGCCACAAACTGCCAGAAATTACAATGAAAGTTCTTGGCCAACATAGGAATGCTGCGAACAACAAGTTGGGCCCCTTTTTGGCAAAGCAATCACTTCAGAAGGGGGGTTGCGGGGGGTGACCCGCTCAACTGACCAGCCCAGCCTGAACCAAATGTGGAAAGTCATCTGGTTCTGGGGAGGTGATAAGCACACCCGCTGAACTGCTTCATCCCAGCAGGGCGGCATGCAAAATCAATTGGTTCTTGGGGGGGGGGTGATAAGCACACCCTCTCAAATGAGCCAACCCAGCCTGCTCTGTAACCAATGTGCAAAATCGTCTGGTACTGCAAGCAGTGCTTGGGCGCGTGGTCATGTGGGTGCGTGAGCATGGGGGGCGTTAACCAGCGCTTCGAACACGAACAGCCCGGCGCGGTGCGTGGGCGCCTGGACCCGCTGCGAACATGAACATCCAGAAGGTGCGAGCAGTGCGTGAGGCCCGTGGGCAGGCGGGCGCGTGGACGCATGGGTGCTGGTTCCTGTCCCAGCTCTCAAGAGCGAAGCACTCGCCGGTGCTGCGCTTCCAGCGTGCCGAAGCGATTAGTACGTTTTCCGGCGTTCCGAAGCGATTCTTTTTCAGCGTTCGGGAGCGACGGGTTTCCCAGCGTTCAGGAGCGACACACTCGCCCCTTTTTGGTTTTTGCCGCCGTCTTTGGTGGTTTTTAAGGACCAATACAAAACAAACTACTCGGGGGGGGTACACCTTCATCGTTCCAATTTGCTCACCTTCTATAGATTCAAGGGTTACCGGTTTGGGGCCCAAAAGGAAACAACAAACCGTCCAATTGCGCTGCTCGCACATTTTCACGCTTGAACAGCCACACTGCGGATGCAATAGATGTTAAGCCCTCAAACTGACCGATTGAATTCTTCACCCCCCTCTGCGTGTTAAAGGGACCTTTCACAAAGCAGCCAAACAAAAACACAACAGAGGGAAGACCGGTCGGGTTTCATCTGCACATGCAACTCCATGATGGGTGCGTTTTCAACGCCACCGCCAATTTGACTGTTGGCCACTGCCTGTATTGCCGCCCCAGCTGCCCCAACCACTGCTGCACCAGTCATCCCACTCCGTGCTGCCCCACTGCTCGCCCTCGCGGGCGGCGGGAGAAGCATAGGAAGTGTGGAGGCATAGCGTGCCGCATTGCGGGCAAGATGTTTCCCGCTTTCACTGCGTGAGAACTCCACGGAGTTCCACGCGGCCCGCTCATTTTGCCTAAATTCAAGCTCTTCGCGGAGTTCACCTTCGCTTTGGCCGGACAGGTAGACCAACCCATTCCAGCAACCAATGCTGCGAGGCTTGTCCTGCTCCAGCACGATGTGGACAAAGGCGCGGGGGGAGTATGGCATACCTTGGAACATAACGATCCAACGTGACGTCAGCGCACCTCTCAGCTGCATGACCATGAACTCAAGCTCCATCTTCACGTACGCGAGCCTTGCGATTCGCGAATCGGATGTTGATCCTGGACCAACACCAAGCGTACGCTGAGCTTGCGACTGTTTCGGAGCTGCTAACACCAGGTTTGCGCATAGTTCCATGCGAAGCATATCCGCCTCCCGGCGCCCGGCCTCAATCATCCTAACCCTGTATTGCAAATCGAGCTCATAGCGGTCGATGAGAGAATGATAGCCGTTCTTCAGGGCGGACTTCAACTTCTTTCGGCCCTCCTGAATCACAGCGCTGTCCGGGGAGTTCAGGCCTCGTCGCTTGTACCCACTGACGCCAGGACCTCTGCAGTGATGCGCGTGCTGAGTCCCATCTTCTTGAGGAGGTTGGAGCGCTGCTTGATGTAGTTGCGCTGCTGGTCCTTCAAGAGGCGTTGGTTGAGGGGAGATAACTGTCCGCACGTAGTGCAATTGACCTGCCCCTCAAAGATATCATTGTTGCACACGGGACACTTGGCGACCTTCATTTCCACGTTCTCCATGGGATTGAATGTCTTCTGCCTCTTCGCATCCCCTTGCGGGGCGCGAGGTGAGGCAGCGTTGGCCCTTGTCGTGGCAGTTCTTTCCAAGGCATTGCTGCGGTCGTCGGCACCCGGTGCTCACGCTTCATTCCCAAGCTGTGCAGATACTGCTGTAGCATCTGCTTCTGATTGCTCAGAGCGTGTGTACCATACGTCTCCGTTGGTGGCGTCCAAAACTGAAAGGATGACGTAGTTCGGGACTTTGTCCCGAGTGAGCACACCATCCGATTCCGTCTTGAAAAAGCATAGACCGGCACGAATCGCCATGCCAAGATCGATCTGAATCTCGAGCGGGCAATCTGCACGGACACCAGAGATGTAATGGCCGCTTGTGCTTGGAACGTCTGCAAAGTAAACATGTGGGCGTCCGGTCTCATGCTGGTCTCCACCGCCAGGCACCAAACCATTGCGCATGATGCTTGCAAAATTGCGTTTGTCCGTGCGGTGGTACAACACCGTTGGCGGATCATCGCAGACGTCCCAGCCGGCCCACCGACCGAGGTCGGTTCCAGGGTTGACATACCACAGCTTGGCAATCCCGAAGTCGTCGATGTTGAGCCAGTCCTCATGTTCCTGGGAGGCTTTCACTTTGAATAGCCAATGAGAACAAGGGACGTCTCCGCACCGGCCTGCGTCCGGGCAACCAAGCGCAATGAACCTCTGCTTCTTGTCGAGCTTGAAGATGTCCATGATGTTTTGCATGTTCCACGGAATTGGATGCCGCAGCTCCTTGCGGAGCGCGAAACCCAAATCTTCGAGGTCCATGTACCCGTCCTTGTCCATACGATAGCCACACCCCTCTGTACCTCGGCCCCTGAGGATCTTCGAGATTGGATGCAGCTACTGCACTCAACGATGGCTCAGCTT